AGAGATATATATATATATATATATATATATATATATATATTTGTGTGTGTTTTTTGTGTAGAGAGACATAGATAGAACAAGTTATTTCTTAATTTATGAATTTGATTATTATGAATTTTGTTAGATGTATCTATATAATTGAATTCTTTTATTTTTAATTATTATTTTTACAAAACATATTTTAAAACAATAGGATTAAAACTATTGTATATAAGCAAAATAAAATCAAACATAAATATTAAGGTTTTTCTTTATAATCTTATTATTGATATAAAGTATATACTTACTTTGTAATGATTAATATTTACTGTAACACAGTTAGTAGACTGGAACGGGGCGTTCCAAAAATTGGAACGGGCTGTTCCAAACTACTAAAACAAGGGTGATTTAGTAGCCTAGAACAAGTCGTTCCCAAGTTAGAACGGGCCGTTCCAAACTACTAAATAGGCCTACAAATCCTTGTTGAGAACGAGTCGTTCCAAATATGGTCGTTGTGAGTTAAATTCAACTCCAGAACGGGTCATTCTAGTTTAACAATGGGTTGTTCTAGATGTGCCAGAACAGGCCGTTCTGGTTTCAAAATGGGTCGTTCTGCATGTGAATTTTACACATGATGAAGGAGCCTAGAACGCGCCGTTCCGGATTCGAAACGGGTCGTTCTGACTACTCCTGACCTTTATAAATAGGCCATAAGCGTGCAGTTGATGAGAAGAGAAAAAAAAAAGGGAACTTAGAGAGAAGTTTAGAGAGAGGGACTCTGGACTAGGAAATTTTCTTTCGAAAGATTGAAGTTCCCAGGTTGAGCTTCGAGAGGAAATTCCGCTTCTTCTTAGTTCTTGGCTATTTCTGAGCCAATCTTCAAGTTAGAGAAGCTTCATGCATTGTTTTCCTTGAAATGGTTAAGTTGTTGGTGCGAATTGAGTTAAAAAGTTAGGTTTTTGTCGTTTGAAAGAAAAGAGATGATTGATTTAAATTAGTGGTTGCATGCAGTTGTTCTTGTGTTTTAGAAGTTGTTTATAACGTGGTTAAGTTGCTAAGTTGCCTGATGAAGATGAGTTGAGTAGTTGTTGGCTTAAGTTGTTCATATGTTGTGTGTTGATAATATGTGATATGTTGTTAAAGTTGCTATACGTTGTGTATTTGGTGAAACTAAGTTGTTTTTATGTTATTTATTGTTGAATTATTAATAAGTTGAGATGTATAAGTTGAAGTAGTTTATTATTGTAAAAGTTGTGTAAAGTTGATAAGTTGCATTAAGTTGATTTAAAGTATCAAGATGACTATTGTTGTCAAGTTTAATGAAGGGTGTCTATAGTTGTGAAGTCGTAAAGTTGATATTGTGATGACTATAGTTGCTCAAGTTGTTTATTAAAGTTGTATAAGTTACCTATTGTTGTAAAGTTATATAAGTTGCCTATTGTTGTAAAGTTGTATAAGTTGCCTATTGTTGTAAAGTTGTATAAGTTGCCTATTGTTGTAAAGTTGTATAAGTTGCCTATTGTTGTAAAGTTGTATAAGTTGCCTATTGTTGTAAAGTTGTATAAGTTGCCTATTGTTGTAAAGTTGTATAAGTTGCCTATTGTTGTAAAGTTGTATAAGTTGCCTATTGTTGTAAAGTTGTATAAGTTGCCTATTGTTGTAAAGTTGTAAAAGTTTCTTATTGTTGTAAAGTTGTAAAACTGTCTATTGTTGTAAAGTTGAAAAATTGGGGACATATGGTGAAGATATATGTCTTATGTTGAGATACATAATACTAAGGTGATAAGTTGAAAGTTGTTTTAAAGTTGAATCCCTTAGTACTGTGTGGGCAACATGGAAGTAGCCGATCCATGTCATGGTTGAATGACCAATTTGAGTAAGGTATCTAGTTAGAGATGTAGTTTTTGACTAGGTACTGGAGGGTGCGTGGTACTTGGAGGGTAGTGGGTGGACTAACCCCATATGTGGGTTTGTTATGCAGACCAAAGCCGTGATAGGTTCATACCCAAACCCTTCTGCCCTGACAGTAGTACTGGA